ATTATTAAATTTCAAAGACATTGAAAGTATTTAATAGTTACAAAAAGTACTTTTTAAATAAACAAAAATAAAATAACTATTATAATGATTACTATACAACAAATATTATTAAAAGATTGTTTTTTAGTGAAAATTATTATATAATGAAAAGACAATTTTAACGCAAAAATGAAAATTCATATAAAAAATAATAGTCATTGAAATAGACGCTAAAGTGTGTGGAAATTTCCCTTATTTTTATCACTTTTCAAACTTTTAAATTATTATTTTATTCTTAAAGAATTACAATTTGCTAAATTTTTTAAAAATCTCATATTACAAATAAAAATTCCCATTAAAAAGCGTATATAAATTTTAATATTAATTGAAAGGCTTTTCCAAAAGTGATAGCCTTCTAATGAATTTGAATATTTTTGTTCAATTCAAACAATATTTTATTAAATGTCATTTGAAAGACACGATATTTTTCATATTTGTCTAGCGTTTGAAACTAGATATAAAAACTTGAATATCAATCTCGTTAAATATGCCGTAAATAACTAAATAAGCATTTTATTTATAATTAACAACACATTTAATATTTGAAAATAAAATTCCAATTCATTGATATCATTGGCAATTATAAAAACTATTATAAATTTGTTTTTTAATACATTAATGAATAGCGATTGGTTGGAAGATCTGTTTAACACCAAAACTATCGCATATTTATTGTAAATATTTTCATAAAACTTTTTATCATCATTTATTTGAATTTTAGCTGATATGACTAAAACTGGATTCACAAAAGTGATAATTAAAGTTGATTTTGAATTAATAAAAACAAATTTTATTGATAATATCGATTCAAATGAGACCTTCAAATCTTTCGATTTAGAAATTATTAAATTTCAAAGACATTGAAAGTATTTAATAGTTACAAAAAGCGCGTTAAAAACTAATTTACAGAATATAATACAATAAATGAAGTATTTTGATAAATGTAAAGTATTGATCCATTTGTTATTTAAAATTTAATGCATAGTAACAGCTATTGTTATGAATCGGATTCAATGAACTGCAGTTATTATTTTAATTTTGATAATTTATAATATGTTATTGACATTATGTCCCACAAAAAAGACATTTTTTATTAATCAATATTTTTATTATCATTTTTTTTGGAAAATATCTATATTTTCAATTATATAATATACATGATATGACTGTATATGATATTAAACTTCTGGTTTTCAATAAATAGTGTTAATTATATTTATTGGTATAAATTAAAGATATTTTTTAAATATCATTATTACATAACAATTTTGACAATTCAATCAGTTTCTGTTCATTATTTATTTCATAGAAACCCATTTAGTCCTTGAATTTATAGATTAAATAATAGAGATATGAAAACAATCATTTAAATCTAAAATTGTTTAAAAATTATGTAATGATTTTAATATATCAATTCAATACTAATGAAAAACTGAATTGAGTAAAAATGTTCAAATAGTAAACCGATTATTAAATTTTTTGTTCAAAAATTATTTAAATAGCTCTCAAGCCTTGACTTGAATTTTAAAATTCAATTTTTATCATTCTTTATATTTTTTGAAAATTCTCTGATTAAACAGAAATGAAATCTCTTTTGTTATCATATATTGAATGCTTGTTATGAATGGAGAAAAAAGGCGTTTCAAGAAGAGAAGAAGAAGATAGCAATGGAGAGAGAGAGAGAGAGGGCTTTGTTTAACATATCTAACTTGTAAGATCTTTGTTTTATTTTTAGAAATTAATGCTTTATGTGTTATATTTTGTCGTAAATAAACTATTAATTTATATAATAATATAAACAACTAATCTTATATATGAAATAATATTTATGAATCAAAATAGAATAAATTTTTAAAATTAAATTTTTTAAAAACATTGCATTTGTCTTAACTCATGTGTAAAGCATATAATTTTAAAAATATTAACTGAAAATGAGAGTAAATATAATTTTTAGATATAATTATGCATAAATAAAAAGGAAATGCATTTAACACTATTGTTATGCAATATTAATACAATTTTACATTGTTTTCAACAGTCATTAGAGTTTTATGACTTCTATTTGGATACAAATGTAAACCAAAGTCTAATAAACTATTTATGAATAATATGTTGTAATTTAAGGAAATCCTATTTGATTTGATGAATGAATAAATATTTTTTATTAAAAAACTTTTCATTAAATGTATAAAAAAGCCATAAATACAGTATAAAAACAAACCCAAAGATTATTAAAAAAATATGATATAATCAGTGATATTATATAACCATAACATTAGACATATGCCGGCTATAAGTCTACGGCACAGTCTCTATGAGTTTTAAGTTACAAACTTTTAATATAATCAAAATATTTGCAAATATTGTGTGATATTTAACTAATTTCACTCAAATTAACACATAATTAATATTTTTAAGTTAAAAAACTTGTGTGAATTTGAAATAGCAATACATTTGTAACATATATTTAGTGGAAATACTCACGACTTTTGGCGATTGCTTGGTTTTGAAGTCCTTTAACTGATCCGAAGCCTTATCTCTGTTTGAAGCCATCGTTTTGTATGTGTTTTGCGGTTAAATTGCAATTCAGGGCTCAAAATGAAAATAACAATTAAGTTGTGTTTTCGAGACAAAAGCCGAAACAAGTTTTCAGTAAATGACTTGAGAGTCGAAATGAATAACAAGTTTTGATAAGACTTTGACTTTTAAAGTGATTGTCAATGAAATGTACGGCAAAGACGACGTCTGCGCATGACTTTCATAACGCATATTATTTTTTCATAAAAACTCACTTTTAGTTTATGAAAGTTTTTTTTGTTTCAATTTTTATTTAATGTACAACAAATCATTTTTTAAAATAGATATTATGATAACAAATGACAATTAAAATATAAGCGCACAGACAATGGGTACGAATTGAAGTCACTTTTTAGGACTTTATACCTGTATATCATATTTATTGGTAGTTTTACTCAACAAATAGTCCGACAAATGAAACTTTTAGTGCCGACATGTGTTGCAAAATTCAAACATTAAAACTTTTTATAATACAGTCTATCCCGGTTATAAGCCAATCGATCGGTGCATTCAATATTATTCTCTTATTACCGGGTTTACCTTATACCCGGGTTTATATTAGTTGACATTTTACCACAAAAAACAATTACCTTTGATATACAATACAGTAATTAACCCAATCACAAAGAACAGTAATTTATACGAATATACAATGTTTAAAAATATGAATTTTAATACACTTTTACATTAATACCTCTGTTTTTAGGGATAAAATACAAATAATTGCATCAATGTTTTTTACGTACGTAAAATACGTGGTTTGTCATATTGCCAACCCTACATTTAATAAAATATGGTATGAATTGAACAAAAATATTCAAATTCATTAGAAGGCTATCACTTTTGGAAAAGCCTTTTAATTAATATTAAATTTTATATTTGCTTTTTAATGGGAATTTTTATTTGTAATTTGAGATTTTAAAAATATTGAGCAAATTGTAATTCTTTAAGAATAAAATAATTATTTAAAAGTTTGAAAAGTGATAAAAATAAGGGAAATTTTCCACACACTTTAGCGTCTATTTTCAATGACTCTTTTATTTGGATATGAATTTTCATTTTTGCGTTAAAATTGTCTTTTCATTATATAATAATTTTTACTGAAAAACAATCTTTTAATAATATTTGTTGTATAGTAATCATTATAATAGTTATTTTATTTTTGTTTATTTAAAAAGTACTTTTTACATAATATTTGTTAGTGACTTTCAAATCATTCTTATTTTGCAGTTTTTATTGATTATTACATAAACTTATCTATAAATGGTATCTTATAAAAGACAAACGAGTGGTTCAGTCAATGCATAGTTACTAAACCTAACTAAACCTAAAACAACTATAGTTAGTCCAGTGCCTGAAGTCTAGACGTTTACCAAAACGTGAAACTATTTTTATGAGTACCTGTCCTTTGGTTCGCAACAAAACTCGTTTCGAAAACAACTTTTCTTTCTCAACACAAAACTTATCTCTTTTGAAAATACATGTTATTTAATGAAATTCATCACAAATAAGCTGAAAAACTTAATAATGAGCAGAATATATTAGTTGCGATCCACCACTCCTTATCACACCACCCCATGCACTCTCATGCTATTGGTTAGCCGGTGCCGGTTAACCATCATGCACGTTTTCAAACACTGAAACACATGCATTTTTAACAAAAATCAAATGTTTTTTGTCAAACAAATAAAATAAATATAATTGACACAATTTTTAGGAAAATGTGACCACACTATTCGGTACACCAATTGGCGACAAAACCAATGTGGTAACAGTGGGTCCGCGCGGACCTATGCTTATACAAGATGTGCAATTCATGGAAGAGTTGGCGCACTTTGATAGAGAGCGTATACCGGAGCGTGTGGTGCACGCGAAGGGCGCCGGAGCTTTCGGCTACTTCGAGGTGACCAAACCCGACATCAAGAAGTACTCGAAGGCCAAAGTGTTCGACACTGTGGGCAAGAAGAGTCCGCTGGCCATCCGCTTCTCGACCGTTGGCGGCGAATCGGGTTCGGCCGACACTGTGCGCGACCCGCGAGGCTTCGCCGTCAAAGTGTACACCGAAGAGGGTGTCTGGGATTTGGTGGGCAATAATACGCCCATTTTCTTCATTCGGGACCCGCTTCTGTTTCCATCATTCATTCACACCCAGAAACGCAATCCGCAAACCCATCTCAAAGACCCCGATATGTTTTGGGACTTTATTTCCCTCCGCCCGGAGTGCACACACCAGACGGCGTTCCTGTTCTCCGATCGGGGAATTCCCGACGGATACAGACATATGAATGGTTACGGAAGCCATACATACAAACTGGTGAACGACAAGGGAGAGGCCTTCTATACTAAGTTCCACTGGAAAGTAGATCAAGGAATCAAAAACATGGATGTCGTCAAAGCCGCACGCCTTTCGGGTTTGTGTCCTTTTGGCTCAATTCTTAGCTATACTTTAATTAGCATTAATAGTATATCTATTAATTGTTTTTGTTTTTCCATTATAATTATCGTATATTTCTTGGCCTTAATTTTCAAGCTAAATAATTGTTGTGATTATTTGTTTTGATAATCGATAAAAATAATGGTTTATTGGGTATATTGTATGAATAGGTGATGACCCGGACTACTCTATCCGGGACTTGTATAACGCGATTGAGAACAAGCAGTTCCCGTCGTGGACTCTTAACGTCCAGGTCATGACATTCCAACAAGCTAAGACTTGGAAATTCAACCCCTTTGACTTGACCAAGGTCTGTACTATTTGCGCACTTTTTGAATATAATTAATTTAAATGAGTTGTTTGTCTACCAAACCACAGGTTTGGCCGCATAAGGACTTCCCACTCATCGAAGTCGGAAGAATGGTTTTGGACAGAAATCCGAAGAACTATTTCACAGAAGTGGAACAAATGGCTTTCGAGCCCTCGAATCTGGTGCCGGGCATTGAGGTGTCACCCGATAAGATGCTCCAGGGTAGACTCTTCGCCTACTCAGACACTCACAGACACCGGTATATCATGTCATTCACTATTCATATCAAATTATTCAATGAAACTTTTAATTCAAACTCAAAAAAACCTATCCAATGGTCAGATTGGGCGCGAACTACAACCAACTGCCGGTAAACCGTGCGAAGTGTCCGGTGATGCACCCGACGAACCGCGACGGTCCGTATTGCTATGACGACAACCACGCGGGCGCTCCCAACTATTGGCCCAACTCTTTCCTCAACGCTGAGGCGAACCCTAAATTCAAAGAGCACTCCGAAGCCAATGTGTCGGGCGATGTGGACCGACACGACTCGTCCAACGACGACAACTTCGATCAGGTGACCGACTTCTGGAACAAAGTGCTGACCGCCGACGAACGCGAACGACTGGCCAACAATATTGGCGGCCATTTGGTGGCCGCCCAGCCGTTCATTCAGGAGCGAGCGATCGCCAACTTCGAGAAAGTTCACCCGGACTTTGGCGCCCGCGTCCGACTCGCCATCAAGAAGGTGAAGGTTTGCTCACACTATTCCTCCCCCATATTAATGGTTTAATTTAATTTTTATTAATACATTTCTATTCATTTTGTTATAATTAGAGCGCAAACCTGTAAATGAGTGGACGCTTTGGACCCATATATTGACCGATTCCTCAATTTCTATATTCAAGATATTAATGAGATTTGTTTTTATGGCAATATTTTGAGGATATATCTAAAACTTCTATTATTATACAGAAAACATTTGAAACCTTTTTCTCTAAATTTGTTTGAAATTTTTTTCTACTTTTATATAACATTCAAAAATAACGAATTTATTTGTAATACTTGTTGTAATACTTGTACTTCTTTTTACTGTATTAATAATAAATGTTTTAACGAAGTATTGGTTTATTATTAAACACATCAATCATTTAACTTATCAGATAAAACCGATTAATGATTAAACAATTATCATATTTAGAAAAATTATGTTTTGCCTATTTTTAATAAAAGCAGTGAAGTATACTGTACTATGCAATACTATATCTAATTTAAACAAGATTTACAATGTAGGATTCTTTATACATTTGCATATATTAACATAAAACAACCATCTTTCTAAATGTCTGTAAACAAAATCTAACAATTCAAATTTTTCCTCTATTTTATGTAAATTAAAGATAATTAATGGCTAATTATAATTTAGTATTGAGTTGTTTTTGTTGATATTTAGTTCAATTTAGTTCATTAACGAATTCATTAACAATTGTGTGACACATGTGTAAACAAATGTGTAATTTAAATAAGCTTTTATATACCCATCAATAGGTAGTCTGCGATATTTCACAATATATTATATCTATTAATATCTGTTTAGTGTTATTGATATATTCTATGCTTATTTATAAAATATATCCATATTTATAAAATGTGGATAACTTAATGTGTTTATGAAAGGTTCTATAAAATTGATATTGTTTATACAGTATATACTGTTCTCATTATAAAATAATAATTTTATAAAACAAGATTTAAATGTATCTATATCTAAAGTAACTATTAATATAAAATAATAACTTATCAATTAATTAATTCAAATAGTTGTTGGACCCGAAGATCAACATTCTCTCAATCATATTATATTTGAATCAAATGGAGTAAAACTTTATTTGATTTCTCTCCACTTATATTGAAGTTCATTCACTTATTTTACAAAAAAAGTTTTTTTTGAATATTTTTAAACCTTTAAAACAATTGCCAGAATATGTTAACAGTTGTAAGAATTTCAGTAATTGTGCTATTATTTCAAATATTAATAAACAAACAATATTGTGATGCAAATGAATTGAATAATAGACCAAACATTATAATCATGTTAATGGATGATATGGGTTGGGGAGATCTGGGTATAAATGGAAATCCAGTCCGTGAAACACCTCATTTGGATGGTATGGCCCGCGAGGGTATGCTATTGACTGACTTTTATACAGCAAACCCATTGTGTTCGCCTTCGAGGGCATCCTTACTAACCGGTCGACTGCCGGTGAGGAATGGCTTCTATACGAACAATATTCACGCCAGAAATTCATACACACCTCAAGAGATTGTCGGAGGAATCAGTGATTCGGAGATATTATTACCAGAATTATTAAAAG